CGGGAATTGAGACAGCAAACTTAATGTTCCCAGGCCAGTGCTCAATCCACAGAGCCATACCAGCCAGGGCTATTTCCTTAAGTTCTATAAAGCATTCTTTATTTCTTTGATTATTTTATTTTTTCTGTTTCCTCTGTATTGTTTTCTAGAACTTTTCTTATGTATATTTTATTGATTTTGTTATTACAGTTATCCCACCCTGGTACCCCCCCCTTTTCCCCACCAATCTCCCCCCTTGGTTCATATCCATGGATCATGCGTGTAAGATTTTTGGCTTCTCCATTTCCTATGCTGTTCTTAACATCCCCCTGTCTATTTTGTTCCTACTAATTATGCTTCTTAATCCTTGCAGCATTTCCCCCATTCTATTCCTTCCTCCTCCCAGCTGATACCCATCCAATGATCTCCATACCTATGATTCTGCTCCTGTTCTGGTTGTTGGCTTAGTTGTTTTTTGTTTTGTTTTTTAGATTCAGTTGTTGATAGTTTTAATTTGTTGCCTTTTTTTTAAGATTTTATTTATTTTTAGAGTGGGAAGGGAGGGAGATAGAGAGAGAAACATCAATGTGTGGTTGCTGGGGGTTATAGCCTGCAACCCAGGCATGTACCCTGGCTGGGAATTGAACCTGCGACACTTTGGTTTGCAGCCCGCACTCAATCCACTGAGCTACGCCAGCCAGGGCTAATTTGTTGCCTTTTTGATGTTCATGGTTTTGATCTTCTTCTTAAATAAGTCCCTTTAACATTTCATGTAATAATGGCTTGGTGATGATGAACTCCCTTAGCTTTACATTGTCTGGTAAGCACTTTATCTGCTCTTCAATTCTAAATGATAGCTCTGCCCAGATATCTAGGTTGTAGGTCCTTGCTTTTCATCATTTTGAATACTTCTTGCCAATCCCTTCTTGCCTGCAAAGTTTCTTTTGAGAAATCAGCTGAGAGTCTTGTGGGAACTCTTTTGTAGGTAACTCTCTGCTTTTCTCTTGCTGCTTTTAAGAGTCTCTCTTTATCTTTAACCCTTGGCATTTAAATTATAGTGTGTCCTTGTGTAGTCCACTTTGAGTCCAACTTGTATGGGACTCTCTGTGCTTCCTGCACTTGTATGTCTATTTTCTTCACCAAATTAGGGAAGTTTTCTTTTATTATTTTTTCAAATAAGTTTTCTTTTTTTTTTTTTCAAATAAGTTTTCAATATCTTGCTCTTCTTCTTTTCATTCTGACACCCCTATGATTCAATGTTGGTACATTTAAAGTTGTCCCAGAGGTTCCTAAGCCTATCCTCATTTTTTTAAAATTTGTTTCTTTCTGTTCTGGTTGAATGTTCATTTCTTCCTTATGCTCCAAATCATTAATTTGAATCCCGGTTTCCTACCCTTCACTGTTGGTTCCCTGTGGATTTTGCTTTATTTCACTTAGTGTAACCTTCATTTCTTCCTTTATGTTGTTGCTGCACTCAAGGAGTTCTCTGAGTATTCTGATAACCAGTGTTTTGAATTCTGCATCTCATAGGTTGGCTATCTTCATTTCTCTATGGAGTTTTGATTTGTTCTTTCATTTGGGCCATATTTTGTCTCCTCAATTTGGGAGGCTCCCTGTGTTTGTTTCTGTGTATTAGGTAGAGCTACTTTTACTCTCTGTCTTAGTAGCATGGCCTATGTAGAAAAGGCACCTAAATTGGCAGGGCAGGGCAACCCACTTTACTACTTTGTGGCTTTGTGTAGGGGCAGGTCTCAGAGAGGGGACCATGCCACTGTCTGGCCTCTGGAGGTTTGCCCAGGACTTGCCCCATTTCCAGTCACTTCATCCACTTCCTGTATGCAACTCCAGCTGCTGCCCTGGTGGTGAAACCCAGATTGGGTAGGTTTATGTATGTTCTAAGTCCATGCAGGCCCTTTAAGTGGGGAAAATCTGGCAGTTTCTTCCATGCCCCCCGCCCCCTCAACACTCACTGGTTTTTACAGCCAGAAGTAATAGGGATTTCTCTTCCAGGTGCTGGAACCCTGGGCTGTGTGGTCTGGCCTGAGGCTAGGATCGCTTGCTCCCAAGGTATCCCTCCCAATTTTTATCCACCATATGGGAATGTAGAACTATCCGTTCTGCCACCACAACTGCCACCCCTCTTTGTCACACCACCTCTCCACCTATCTCTGTGACTCCACCCTTCCTACCAGTCTGGATGAATGTGGCTTCTTTAAAGCCCTGGTTTTAAGGATTTCCATACAACTTGATTTTCTGATGGTTCTGGGTGTTTTTTGTTTTGAGATCTGGTTGAATTCTTTCTATGGCCACATGAGGAGGCAAAGCATGTCTACCTACACTGTTTTCTAGAACTTTTTATTCATATATTGCCCTCATGGCTTGGCCTTCTAATTTTCTTATATTTTATATATTTCTAATGATTTTCAATGTACTTTCTGGAAGATTTTTCATCTACTTTCTGGACGATTTCCTCAGCTTAATACCCCGTGATTTTTTTTGTTTCTGTTACTATATTTTTACCAACATTGCTTCCCTTTTTCTCCAATTACTCCTTTTTTTCTGGCATACTATTATTGGTTTATCAATGTAATCCCTTCTAGTTTTCTTGTCTCTGGATAGTTGATGTGTTCATATAGTTTGTTTTCTACAAATGCCTGGTGACCTTTGTTTGCTTGTCTTTGCAAGTAAGACACAATGCTAACTGGAAACTCGGTTTATGGATATGGCTTGTAAACGGTAGCCTTCATTAAAGGGTGATCTGACTACCATGCCATGCTGAGGAACCCCCAATATCAATATCTTTAGTCTTTTCTCTTTGAGTGGTCAGATTCCTCAGAAAAGAGTTATTTGATATGATTCTGCTCTCCTGCCTAGAGAATATAAGGTTGTTTGTGTGTTTTGGGCCTGTGTGGGGGGTAAGAAGATTAAGGGAGAAGAGCAGGTCTCAGCATTTATTATGTAACTTTCATTTAATCCCCATGATTTTTATAGGATAGCCTACCACCAATGTGGGATTCCTCCATCTAGTACCCTCTATTTTACCCTCTCTGGAAAATAAATCTCTAGTTTTCTGCCAGGATGTGTTGGGAAGTCACTTATTGTATGGAATTGGTAGAGACAGGATATGGATGAGTGTTACACATATTCAGCTTCTTAAACATTCTTTCAACCAGTCTTCCAGTTTTAGCTACATGTCCATCCTCCTTTGAGAAGTGTTATTTCCTGATTTTTTAAAGATTACTCATTGTAAACCAGATGCTTCTCAGTTTTTCATACTGACGATTTAGTAACTATTAGGTTGGCTACTCAGTTACCAGGCATCTGTCTACTTTTTAGTTTCAGTGTTAATTGCTATCAACCCCTCTCCAACCCTCTTTCTCCCTATACTCACTACTATTATTTAAATATAGGACTGAGCTGACGAGGTTGTGGAGAAAAGGGAACCTTAGTACACTGTTGGTGGGAATGCAGACTGGTGCAGCCACTGTGGAAAACACTATGGAATTTCCTCAGGAAACGAAAAATGGACCTGCCTTTTGACCCAGCAGTTCCATTGCTGGGATTGATTATACCCTAAGAATCCTGAAACACCAATTCAGAAGAACCTGTGCACCCCATGTTCATAGCAGCTCTTACAATAGCCAAGTGCTTGAAGCAACCTAAGTGTCAATCAACAAATGAGTGGGTCAAAGAAATATGCAACATTTACACAGTGGAATACTATGTAGCAGAAAGAAGGCATTCCTACCCTTTGCAACAGCATGGATGGATCTGGAGAGTATTTTGCTAAGTGAAATAAGCCAGGTGGTGAAAGACAAACACCATATGATCTCACCTATAAGTGGAACCTAATCAACAAAACAAACAAGCAAGCAAAATATAACCAGAGACATTGAAATTAAGAACAAACTGACAGTAATCAGAGAGGAGATGGGAGGAGATAATGGGGGAAAAGGGGGAACAGGTTGTCAAGGAACATGTATAAAAGACACATGGTCAAAGCCAAAGGGGTTTAGGATCGAGGGTGGGAGGTGGGGATGGCTAGGGTGGGGGGTGGGGACTGTTGGGGGAAAAATGGAGACAACTGTACTTGAACAACAATAAAGAAAAATAAATAAATATAACACTGAGAGTGGAGGTTAAATGTGTTCAGCCTATTACCTTTTCCCAAAATTGCAAAGTAACTAATTTTTAACAGTTAAGAGGCTATTTTCATGTTTTAGGTTTAATTCATGCTACCCACTTTAAATTCATTGTATTTGATTCATCTCATATTGATTTCTTACTCTTAATAGGTAACTTGGCCTCAAGTTAACTAAGAAAAGCCTATTCAATCTGAACTTTTTTGATTCTTTCCTTTTCCTCACTACAGTTTCTTTGTGTCTCCTCGTTCTCTCAGACCTCCCTTCTATCCTCTTAATCTTATCACTCCAGCCTCTGCTGTGACCCTTTCCATCCTGGAGACAAACTGAACCTCCTCATTTTTCATTCTTCCTTAAAATGCCCTGTTTATAATTCTACTTAAACTTTTTAGCTTAAAAATATCAATAAACCAACTTTCTTAATCATTAAGCTTTAGTCCCAGCTTTCTTATTCTTCTTTAGTTTTCCCTTTTTATAAAGTAAAAATGCTATTCATTTCACTTTTTACCTTTTATTTTCTTCTTAACTTCATTTCACTTAGTCTTATATATGAGCTTTTTAAAAAATTACCTTCTAAGCAAAACCTCTTCTTGGTCATAGTCTACTTGAGTACCTACTTTCCATTGAACTCTTTTCTTGTTTTTTTTTTTCCTAATTCTTATATTGTTCTTGTTTCCTCAGTTTTTTCCTCTTTTATCCCTTTTCTCCCACTTACTATTATATGTGATTCTACTTCCTTAGGCTTCTTAGAACACAAAGCAGTTAAAAGTTCATAAAAATGTATTGATGTTTGAGTTTTCCTTGACTTATTAAAAGAAAGTTAGATGATATTTAATAAACATTTTATTATATTAATAAGTTTTAACATTTAATATTTAGGCAGGTGCTGTAAAGGATTATATTAAGATGATGCTTCAAAATGATTCACTTAAATTTCTGGTTTTTGCTCACCATGTCCTCATGCTCCAAGCTTGCACAGAAGCAGTCATAGAAAACAAGGTATGTTAGCACTTGTCTGTCAAGTACTTTTAGGGTGCACATTTTTAATATACCAAACATCGGTTGTCTTATAATTGCATTTTTACCTGCTTTTCATGGTGGTACATAAATTATAGATATTTTTCTTGAAAATTATACTGATATTATATTACTGTTATATTGATGGTATCCTATTAAAGTTTGCCTTTTAAACCAGTGTTATAATTCTTCACTAATCAAATGATCTGGATTAAAATTTACTGCCTTGATAGGAATGATGTGAATTTGGTTTTTGTTAATGGTATACAATTTAAGATATGTATAGGCAGTTAAAGGTTAATTTTTTGTTTACCCACAAGGCATCCCTGGAATGTGGGTGATGTCCAGAGGAAAGGAAGAATGAAGTTAACTGATTTTTGTGTCCAGCTATAGTCCCACCTTTTAAACTCCAGGCTGTATACTCTTTAGAATACGGTTATTAAGATTTAGTATAAATGAATTTATAACATATCATTCAGGGAATGTCTCAGGTAAGCTCCAACAAGCCTGCTGGCCCTCCTGCATCTCCTTAGGTCCACCCTATTTCCCAGCAGTTCTGTCAGTGATAGCATCATCCAGAAGAAATTTCCTGACAAATTATGTGAGCTTAATATATACATAACAGCAGAACTTCCTTCTGGTGTAGGTAGTTGTTGTTGTGTTTTTTTAATGGAGGAATAAAGCCATATTTTTTATCACTTTGTATAGTATAGATTTTTCAAACACTAGCTAATAGATTCATTGACATTACCAAAAATGTAATACTGGTATTTTCTTTATTGAAAGATTTATGATAATATAATAAAGTACTATATACTGAAATACACTTTCTTATTGATTATCTTATAGTGTCTGTAAAACACCTGCAGAGGAAGAGTTAATCTTAGAAATAATTTTAGATGATTAAGCAATAATTATAGATCCATAATATTTTCTCATTCTGATTCTAGTATACCTTAGAAGTACTGGAATGTATTCCAAGAGCAACAATCTATCTCTCTTTCTCACTTCTGCTTTACTGATATATTTAGAATCCCATTTAACATTACTAAGAGTTACAAATGTTAGGTAGTCATGATGTTGGAAGTGAATTTCTCTCAAATACCTTAGAGTCTGACAGTGTGTTTTCTTTAGAAAGACCCTCAGAAGAGTTTATAATCTACCTTAATGGATATTAAATGGATCACTGGTCAATTCTATCTGTTTTATGAAGACAAAGTTAATAAGGGGCATTCTATTTAATGAATAATTTGACTGTCTTCTTATATAAGTGAATATTTCTGCCTTCACCTATTTAAGACTATGTTTTCCATAAAAGTACATATAGAAATGAGATTATTTGAAATTCAGGGCTTATACTTGTTTTACAAAGCTGAGTAATACGCTCTTTTCAGCTTCTGTAACGCACGCTGATTGCTCCCTTTTCTCAACTCAGATCAAATCATTCTTAAAAGACAGCATTGTTCAATTTAGCACTTAATTGTTTCCCTACTTTTTAAAAATGTGGGTGGTTGTCTTGGTCCCCACCTCAAGGGGCATGACCATAACACATTTTTCTTTTAACATTAATAATGGGGGAGGGGGGAAAGAACTCAAATTGTACATTAAAAAAGATAATTTCCCAGTTCATACCTGAGATATTTCAGAAACAGACATACCACCCTTCATGAACTTCTAGTATACGTACAGAATCCTCATTTTCCTTTCTTGCAACATCTGATCTTACTTTTACTTTGGAGTTCGTGATTCTGTGACTTGAAAGTTACTCTGATCCAGCATTAATTTGGTGTATTAATTTACATAGAATTCTACTGGGCAACATTAACTTAATTTAGTCATGAACTGCTATTATGTACAAGACATTGAGCTTTGCAATGATGGTGTGAAGATAAGTTGGACATAGATCCTAACCTCAAGTAGCTTAAAAGATTAAAAGATATAAAATTGTTATCAGACACTATTAAGAAATTTGGTTAAGATTTGTCTTGTGTAACATTTACCAACCTGTTATCTTAACTAGTTTCTGTTTTATTATGTGAACATAAAAGTAAGCCATAAAGTATATAAAATAAGCTGGGTATATAGGGGTTTGTCCTAATTTTGCCATTTCCTTTGTTAATGCTAGACTCGTTATGTTAGGATAGATGGAAGTGTTCCATCCTCAGAAAGAATACATCTGGTTAATCAGTTTCAAAAGGATCCTGAGACTCGTGTTGCTATCCTAAGCATTCAGGCTGCTGGTCAGGTAAGAAATTTCATGACTTGATAATAAAATGCCTTTGAGGTTATAAAAATGCCATTAACCATAATTATAATTTTATATCTCATATCTGATATAATCAATATTCATTCTATTTTGGATAGTGCTAGAAAGTATAATAGGAGGAGGCCTCACCACCTCTGACTGAAATCTTCCTACATTTTCAAGGAGAGAATTTCTTAGAAGAATATAGTTCATTTGACTGAAATACTTTCTCATGACTTTCTTTTTTTCTTTTGAATTTGCATAGAATTTTCCCATCCCTTTCTTAGAGTGCTTATCTTACTTGACTATCTTCATCAGAGTCTGTGAGGCAAGGTGGCTTGAGGAATAAGAACTTTTCTGTCTGAGAACTCTTTATGGAGTCCCCCTGTTTGCCCCTTAGAATTACATTTGGCTGCAAGTAAATGAAAACTCAAATGAAGATAGACTTAAATGCATAGAGTTTTACTCTCTCATGTAGATAGCCCAAGTCTAGCGTGGTGGTTCCACAAAGCCCTTAGGACCTAGGCTCCTTCTGGCTTTCTGCTTTTCCACTCTTAACAGGTATCTCATTTTTAAGAGGGCTGCTAGAGTTCCTCCAGCATGTCTTTGATTCAGACAGCTGGCTGGAGAAAGGCACACTACGTCTGCAGTTAGTCCTATGGCCACAACTAACTTCAAGACAAGCTAGGGAAAGTAGCATTTATTCCAGATAGTGATGCTAAAATTCAGGTGTTATACTGCCAAGGATTAAAAATAGACATTGAGGTAAAGAACAAACTGCCAGTAACCAGAGGGGTGGGGGAGGGAAATAACGGGAAAAAAGGGAAAGGGTTGTCAAGGAGCATGTATAAAGGGCCCATGGACAAAGTCTAAGGGGGGTAGGATTGAGGGTGGGAGGTGGGGGTGGGTGGGGTGGGGAAGTAGTGGTGGGAAAACAGAGATAACTGTATTTGAACGACAATAAAAGTTATTTAAAATATATACAAAATTATACAAAAGAAAAGAATAGATACTAGGGAAGGCAACAATAGTCTCTGCCACACTGTGGAAGAGGGAATCTTTCTGAACTTTTTTCCTAGTAATATTCTGAAACAATTTGATGTAAATGTCTAAGCCAGGATATTTAACATGTCTAAGCCAGGATATTTAACATAGGGGAAAATAATTGAACATATGACTGTGCATCCAACCTGGTATATGCCATATCTGTCATCTCCTGTGGACTCGAATATGAACCAGAGCCAAAGATCTGCTTTTACCAAGCAAATTGTATACACAGAGAAACTCCATGAAGATTTATAAACACATACATACAATTTTGCTTGGTTCTAGAACTTGCTAGGAATTCTAACCAAAAGGAGGGTTGTCTCAACATTTCCTTGATGTTAGATTATACTTGCAGTAATCTGAGTTTTAGATCTGTTAAAATATTCTAGACTTAAAACATATTATCAAACAGAGCATAAAATTACAAATGGAGTACTCATAATATGGGAGAATAAATGTAGGAGATGCCAGGCAAGAGAGTTTAGGAGTGGCCTGATAAAAGACTTCAAAATTAAAATTGCACAGGGCACTCACATTTTATTCAAGACTATATTCCTAACAACCTTGTATAATTCAAAATTCATATACTTGAATGCTAGTGTCTTCATAGGAATAAAGGAAAGTAGAAAGAACTTTGTTGTTAAGGCATATGAATCTTCCATTGCAGTTTAGTAGTAGCTCAGAGTGATGTTGCCATCTTATATGGTCATGAGATGCTTTTTACATGCTTAAAGGTGTCTGTCTTTGTTTGTTTGTTTGTTTGTTTGTTTGTTTGTTTTTAAAGTTTTCCCTTTTTTTAGGTTTTATTTATTTATTTTTTATTTTTTTTAGAGAGAGGGGAAGGGAGAGAGAAAGGGGGGGAGAAACATCCATGTGTGGTCACCTCTCAGGTGGTTCCCACTGGGGTACCTGGCCTGCAACCCAGGCATGTGCCCTGACTTGGAATCAAACCGAGGACCTTTTGGTTCACAGCCCTCGCTCAATCCACTGAGCTATATCAGCCAGGGCTAAAGGTGTCCTTATTTAAATACTTTTTATTTTTCAGCATTATCTCTAGTATTTTGTGGCATTTCTTGTCCTAAGTAGCAGAACAGCTTAGCATGGTAGTTGTTTCTATTACTTCTAACTTCTGTTCCGAAGTGATTGATCTTCAGTGAATTTTCAGCTTGAATGCCACCTTTTAATGAATGCTGGTATGATGTGTTATGTGATATAAAACCCTTAAAGTTAAAATAACATGCCATAAAACAGCACAGCAGTCACAAAAGTCGCTCACTTGGAACTTCCAGTGTATGTGAACAATGGCTTGGGGTAGTTGGTAGTCTCAAAGGATGGTAAGTATTTCTGCCAACCCCTGTGTGTGGCAATAGCATAAGCATGCTTCGTATTTCACTCAGCCTGCCAGCTTTAACATCATGCATTTTTTACTCAATTTTAGTTTGAGGAGATTTGCTTATTTCATGTAAAACAAGGCTTAGTTAATGATTTTAATGTTGTACTATTTCAAACTGATGTAAAATGCAATTGTGTTGTCTATATTGAGATACAGGCCAGTAAACTTCAGGGCCTTTGGAATGTAATGTAAGAAATTTCATAGAAGAGAACAGTATGACTGAAGACGTGATTTTCTTGCTTTATGGGACAGCAATATGAATTAAATGAATAGAGGATGTCATTGCTCTCTGCCTAGTTGCTATGGATACCATGTGTTATAGATTATATTCTCATTTATAATGTATTTTATTAGATTTCCAGTGGTAATATGAATCTAGTCTTCATCAGAGGATAAAGTGATTTTGTGTATAATATTCATCAAATTGACTTTTGAAATACATCTTAAATGTGTTTTGTAGTTCACCTGGCTATCTTGGAGTAAGTAGTCTTCATGTGCCTTTCATAAATTAAATTTTTGTAATCTGGCTTACAATGAAAGGTTAATTTGTTTCTATGTCCTTCAACATCCTCTTGTCTATTTAATGTGTTCAGAAAGACTACTATACATGGCTCTATGTTATATTCTCAGTTCATTTACATCTTAATTTCTTCACTTATTTTGCTAAGGGTTTGACATTTACTGCTGCAACTCATATTGTGTTTGCTGAGTTATACTGGGACCCTGGACATTTAAAACAAGCAGAAGACCGGGCTCACCGAATTGGACAGTGCAATTCTGTGAATATTCACTACCTCATTGCAAATGGGACTCTAGACACCCTTATGTGGGGGATGTTGAATCGCAAGGTAAAGCTTGAATTCAAGCCTGGTTACTAATTTACTCATTATTATCCATAGTCTACATGAGTTAAGAGGCAGAGTTTTAGTGTTTTCAGGTAAAGGATACTTAAGTACACTAAGGTACTGATGTTAATAGAGACCAAGTTCAGAAAAGGTTTCAGTTGGTAGTACTGTACTTGCTATCCTCTGTAATAAAAGAGAGGCATGAATTTACATGTATTCGTATTATCTCTCAAGCCCTTCTCCTACCGTTCTAGAGGACAGAGGAGAGGTTAGCTAGCAAGGAACCAGAATGCTTTCAAGCACCAAATCTTTTTCATTAAGTAAAAATAAACCCTTTCTCAGAAGCAATCTTGAAGTCAGAACTAATATTGGATAGAGGACACCTTGTACCCGACTCTAGAAGAGGTAGAAGGGACATTGCTTGTTCTGTGTCCTGAGTTGTCTCTTCTCCCAACTTTGAGGAATGTTTATGGAAAGGATTTGACTAAGGATTAGAGGATAGTTTTCAAGCACTGAGTATAGATATTCAAAATGGCCAATCATATGTAGGTTCAATTTCAAAGTTTATAAATATTAGAGTAAAAGTTTTTATGAGAAAAGCAAACAAGATAATTTCTCTAGTTAAGACCTCTTCTTCATAAGAATAGGAATCACTGACTTGGTCATTTGACTGTGACTATGAATAATTATATTACTATAGCCCATGATATGTTGAAACAATATGATTTCCTTTAATGGATTACTTGTGATTCAAATGCAAAATCAAGTTATTGCTTAGAAAATATCAGCTGTGAAGTGAATGTTATCAAATTCATATGCTTTTCCATCCTCCAGACTCAGGTTACTGGGAGCACATTGAATGGTAGGAAGGAACAACTTCAGGTTGAGGAAGGTGATAAGCAAAAATGGGATTTCCTGCAGTTTGCTAAAGCTTGGACGCCAAATGAAAATTCTGAAGAGCTGAGGAAGGATATTTTGTTCACTCATGTAAGAAGATTATATAACTTACTCTTTTCTATCTTTTTAAGATCCTGAAACTATAACTTTATTTTATATTACTTTAAATTGCAGTCTTCAATTATTCATGCTGAAAAACCTCTTAGAACCAAAAGATAGCACTGATGGAAGGAGGCTGCAGCAGTGGCTTGTATCTTGCACCAGTCACATATCAGTGCCTCACTGTTAGCTCCTTGGGAAAACAAGCTAAATAGAATCCAACCTCAGAAGAAAACATAGAAGGCTATCTTTATGATCCTGAGGATAGGTAAAGATATATTAAATTTGCCATAAAATGTAACATAAATAAATTAGAGACCAAGTAAAGAGATTTGCATTGCAATGTCTAAAGTATATAAAGAATTTATACAATTCAGTTAATAAAACACAATTGGTATAGAATGTGAGTATCAGAGGATATCTGAATAGCCAATAAACATGAAAAGCAGCTCTTCCTCAACTATAGTAATGGTTTTTCTAATTCCATCATTGCTTCTATATTTTTTAGCTGACATTTTTTTATAAAGAGGACTTTATTTCTCATTTTAAAAAATCACTAAGCTTAGGAATTCTATTAGTTATTTCATGTGTTATAATCCTTCACTTTAAAAAAAATCTGACTAGTGAAAGCTCCTTTTTTAGAAAAAATAACTTTCTATAATTCTCTGAGTGCTTTTTGCTTTCTGAGAAACAATATATTCCAGATTCACCATGTATTTGCTCGGCCCCAGATCAGGAAGTGGACATTTCTTTAAGGAGCCCTGATTGCCTTTACTGGCAAATAGTATTTAGAAATTAGGGTTTTTTGCTGCTCTGAGATGTCATTGCTCCTGGCATATTTGCAGTGTACAGAGCTATTTATATACAAATACATAGTTTTGTGTGGATAGGTAAACATGTATGTATGCGTATATATGTCTGTATATATGTATGCATTATTAAGTCGTAAGTTCATACAAATGCCTTCTGTTCAAATCTAGCACCACCTAGTTCTTCTTCACTTTCTCCATGTATCTAACACAAATATAAACATTTATATTTATCTGTCCAACAGTGAGAACTCTGGTTCCTGATATCATCAACGTATTTACTCATTTGCTCTATTCTTTCATACATGTAAATACTTTTTAAATTACTACGCTAATACCACTACCAACAGCTAAGTAAAATTCAAGATATCTTAGAAGTTTTAATTAGGTTCTACTAAAAATATATAGGCATAGCATTCTGTCTAAATGTTATTTGAATTGGGGTTTTTTTCTATGTGGGATACTTGTACAAGTATGTTTGTTGAATCACTTTTGTAATGCAAAAAATTGAAAGCAACCAACATGCCCATCAATAGGAAAATAGCTATATATACTGTCGTAAGGTACTATTTGGAAGTTAACATGAATGGTAGATTTATATGTATGACTAGATTTTGAAAACAATGTTATTTGTAAAATGCATAGCATGCATGTGCACACAAACACATGCACTTAAATAATATGTATGTATTTATGAACACATACATATGTAATAAAATATATAAACATAGACTGGAAGAATACATACCAAATATATAATATTGGTTGCTTCTGAGAGGAGGAGAATGGGTCTAGGGAAGAGTAAAAATGTCACAGCAACTTCATCAGAAATATTTTATTTATAAGAAGGATTAGAAGTAAATACTACAATGTTAGTATTTATAGATTGTGAATGGCGGGTATATGGATGTTTGTTATATTCTCTGTACAGTAATGAGTGCTATTTGGAGGCCATATATAGACTGGATAAGAAATAAAATATTAGAGAAGCCTAGAGTCATTCAAACTATCTGCTTTTTCCTAGCTGTTTTGGGGCAATATGGTATGAGTTATAGGGTGTTCAGTTTCAATTTTTGAAAGAATTGATCAGGAATTGTAGGAATAAAATTAAAGTCTATACTTGTTTTTTCAAAATATACAATTAAAAATTAGTATAAAGTTTAATACCATAAAAACATAATACAGGGTCCAGCACAAAGGACACCCCTTTTTATTACAAAATCATAAGTATGTAATTCTGTAACATAACAATATTATACTCAAGCACACCATATAACATTTTAGGTGACATGTTCAAATTGCTGTCCATCTCGTGTAAGACATTCATGTACCCTATCAACCACACTCAAGAAGGTGTTACTTCTGCCAGACCCTGTATTTTTATGTGTAATCTTCCTAAGTTTTTTATGTATCTCCTTTGCAGGGCCAGTACTTTTTTCCTAGGGTACTAGAATGCTCTTTAGTCAAGTATTGCTAAAAAAAAAAAAAAAAAAGAAGAAGGACTGTTTCTCAGAATTTTTTTAGGCTAAAAACTCCTTTTGGTAGTAGTTATTACCTTATACTTTGATTAATTAAAAACCAGGTATTCTAGGTATTTAAAATATATATAACTCAAACTATAAAAATATAACCATTATTTATAGTTGTTTTTTCTCTAAAATTCCCTAACAAACTACATTTAAAAGTTCATTTCTAAGACAACTATTAAGAATTTGAAACCTGAAATACATCTTCCCACATTTATACATGTTTATTATTTATATCTTTATATAAAGAAAAAGTATATATCTCTGTATAAAATTAAAGATATCCCCCAGTCACCCTGACCAAATCTTACTTTCCTGAGTTAGGTGTTCACCTTAACAGTTTACTGTTACTTTTCACAGAATTTCCAATGCATGGTTTTATACAGACATGGGTTTTTTTTTTGTTTTTTTTTAATTTTATTTATTTATTTTTAGAGAGGGAAGGGAGAGAGAGAGAGAGAGAGAGAGAGAGAGAGAGAGAGAGAGAGAGAGAGAGAGAAACATCAATGTGTGGTTGCTGGGGGTTATGGCCTGCAACCCAGGCATATACCCTGGCTGGGAATTGAACCTGGGACACTTTGGTTCCCAGCCCGCGCTCAATCCACTGAGCTACGCCAGCCAGGGCCAGACATGGTTTTATAGAGCATTCTCTCCACTTATCCTAAGTTTTGCTTCCACTGTTTCAGTTACCCATGAGTCAAGAGTGGTCCAAAAACATTAAATGAAAAATTCCCAAAGTAAACAGTTGATAAGTGTTAAATTGTGCCACCATTCTGAGTAGCATGATGAAATCTCACTCCATCCAGCTCCATTCCACCCATGATGTGAATCGTCCCTTTGTAGCATCTCTACATTGTATATGTGCCACATGCACCCTGCCCATTAGTCACTTAGCTGACTGACTGTCCCAGTATCTAAGTGCTTGTATTCAGGTTATCCTTATTTTACTTAATAATATCCCCAAAGTACAAGAGCAGTGATGCTGACAATTTAGATATGCCAAAGAGGCATCAAAAGGTGCTTCCAATCTGGGGTGTCCAACCTTTTGGCATCTCAGCCACACTTGAAAAAGAAGAGTTTTCTTGGGCCACACATTAAAGATAAAAACACTAATGAAAACTGATGAGCAAATAAAAGGTCTGTGCATGATTTTCGTGATATCTGCCACCACAGATAAGCAAAAAAGTCCTCACATAATAATCCTAATTATGCAGTGGCCCTTTCCGATAATCTTTTAAATCATCAAACAGGTCCCAAGTTTGTGATCACTAATATAGAAAATGTACATATCTAAGTAATAAAACTAAGTAATGTTTTAAGTAAATTTATAATTTTATAAATTTTGTTGGGCCACATTCATAGACAGGCTGGGCCACATGCAGCCCATAGGCCACAGATTGGACACCCTTGTGGGGTGAAAGGCTATATATAGAAAAAACGTAGTGCATGTAGAGTTTGGTACTATCCTTGGTTTTAGGCATCCCCTGGGGATCTTGGAATGTATTCTCTGTGGATAAGGAGGGGTGACTATAAATCGGAATCTTGTAATATAGAGACTATTTATTTTGCGTTGGATTTGGTTTTTGGCCAGCATGTGAAAGGTGCTTTGAGTGGGAGTGACTTTAGATGGGAATGTCATATACCACTTTCTTTTTATGTCTTCCAGCTTCATGCATTTTAAGAAATATTCAATTTGTTGAAAGATCCTAAAAAATTTAGTCTGCTGAGAAACATATTTTTCTTCTGAATGTTGCCAAAATCAGCATTTTCCATGGGAATTTTTCTAGTTACACTGATTTCTTTCTGGTCCTTGCTAAAATCCTTTACATTTTTTCCTACATTTACCACTTTAGGCTATTTATAATTTAATTAAACTTTGCCAAATTAATCAAATTTGCCAATTGTCAATTAAAAAAACAACTAAAAAGTTTATAGCAGTTCTAATTAAATGGCTTTTAACAGCTTGTGACTATTTCTGTAGTATCAGCATTCTAAATAATGTTCATTTATCTCTGCACCAGTGCCCTGCTGCTGCAGCTGGAGGCTAGAGCTAGGGCAAAGAAGAAGGACCTTCCACTGGTGGAAGAACAGACTGTCTGTCAGTCAGTGCATGATTCAGGTCAGGCCATCAGCCTTAGAGAAGGGGAGACTGAGAGGAGAGAAGACCAAGGAGCAGAGAGTGACCCTGAAAGGCAAAGAGAGGATGAACTGGAGGCAGGAAATCATTCAGGAGACTCAAGTACCCTGCATCCCTGGCTCCCCATAACCTTAATCCTGCCAACTCGTCACATTCAAAATACTGTGAAGTGTATACATGATTTTTAGGAAACCAATAAATTTGGTCATTTGGCAAATTGGTCTTCAGTGAATTGACCTAGGGCTTGATGTTACTATGATAATGGGTCCTGGTAAAAGGGAGACCTGTGGTTAGGAAGAAGAGGAGGAGGAATATGAGAGAAGATTTTTGTGGATAAAATTTTTCTGCCCTGGCTGGTGTTGCTCAATTGGTTGGAGAATCATCCTGTACACCAGAAGGTAGTGGGTTCAATTCCTGGTCAGGGCACACATCTAAGTTACGAGTTTGTTCCTTGGTTGGGGCGCTTATAGAGGACAACTGATCGATGTTTCCCTCTCACATCAATGTTTCTCTCACTCT